GATCTCTGTGAGTTCAAGGCCAGCCTGGGCTACCAAGTGAGTTCCAGGAAAGGCGCAAAGCTACACAGAGAAACCCTGTCTGGAAAAAACAAAATAAATAAATAAATAAATAAGTAAATAAATAAATAAATAAATAAAATGTAATCTGTGAATGCAAGGACCTATCTCATTCATCCCATAAATATGTATCAGAGGCTTCCTAAGTACTGGTACCTTTTTAATTTTATATTTTTTTTTAATGTGTGTGGGTGTTTTGCCACACTTATATCTGTGCACCACTGTGTGTAGTGCCCAGGAAGGATAGAAGAGGGCATTGGACACACACACATACCCCAACCGGAGTTACAGATGACAGTGACCCACCATGTGAGTACTGGAAATCAAACCCAGTTCTCTGGAAGAGTATCAGTGCCCTTAGCTGTGGAGCAATTTCTCCAGTCCTCACTGGTACCTCTTGTAGGTGAAAAGGCAGGGGCAGGGGTGGGTAAGTGTTGAATGGAGAATGTGTTCTAGCTGAGTGGTTAAGTCACACCCGTCAGGTCTGGGGACGCAGCTAAAGGGTAGAGCACTTGAATAGCATACGAGGCCTTGGGTTTGATTACCACCCAGAAGGAAAAAATGCTCTTCAGCTAGCAATGGTGGTGAATGCTGACCTGAATGGTTTTTAGACTAGCCTGGGCTACTTAAGGAAACCCTGTCTCAAAGAGAAACAGAAGAAACAAACAAAGAGCTGGGCATAGGAGGGATATGTCTATAACCCAAACACTATGAAGGCAGAGGCAGGGAGGGGAGGAGGGAGGAGGGGGGAGGAGGAGGGGGGGAAGGAGGGAAGTACTTCTCTTTGGCTGCTAACTCCCATCTCAACAGTCCAGGACTGACAACTGTTCAAAGCTCCCGACTGGGGGTGGGGAGGCTAGAGAGATGACTCAGCCATTCAGGTGCTGCTCTTCCAGAGGACCTGAGTTCAGTTCCCAGCACCCATGTCCAGTGGCTCACAACTGTCTCTTCTGCTGCCCCCCCAGGTACCCACCCATACAAATGTGGCACACACACATTAAAAATAAATAAATGAATGAAGAGTCCTGGGTGGGGCTGGCGATGGCTCAGCGGGTAAAGGTCCCTGCCCAGTCTGAGCTTGACAGCCTGAGTTTGCGCCCCAGGATCTGCAAAGGGTAGGAGAGAACAGACTTCCAAAAGGTGACCTCTGACTGCACCATGGGCCATGGCATGTGAACCCACACAAAATAAATAAAAATACAAAATCCCTGGAGTGCTTGTTGAGCATGCACAAGGCCCTGGGTTGGATACCCAGCACAGCATAAACCTGGCATGGCAGCTCACACCTGCCATGCACATCTCATCAACGTCCCTGGAGCTACCACCACGCTGAAGTATAAAATAAACTACTGTCTTAATGTTGAAAACGAGAGGTTTGTTCCCAAACTGAGGCACATCTTAAAGAAGTCAAGTGCACTCTGAGAGGGCCACAGGAAATGCAGCAGGAGGCAAGCCCATGGAGGCAGGCTTTCCCAGGAAATGTGGATGCCGAGGCAGAAGGATCATGCCCCTTAAACACACTCCCCATCGCCATAGCAAGCGGCCTCCCACCCCTCTTATACCTTTATTAGACTCTTGTTTTCCCTTTCTCCATATGTAGTCCGGCGAATTTCACACCACGGTCTCTCCCCAAACAAGGACTTATCTCCTCGGACTTCCCGAAGCCAATGAAGCGGGTATCAAGCAGAAACTGTGTGTACTCGCTTGTTGTAACCATATTATGAGGTCATAATGGTCTCAAAGACCAGGATGAGGCAAACTCAATAAATAGTTGCCTGCGTAACTTAAAACGGGTGAGCTCCGAAGGGGGAGTAGAAGAAAATGACTCAAGACAGAGGGGTGAGCTGAGCTCCCTGGCATGGTGTCTTCACAGAACCGGACGTGGGTCAGGCAGACGTGATGAGCCAAACTATTACAAGAATCTCCTAAAGTAGGTCAGTGTTTCCTACCACTTTAAGACCAGAGGCGGCGTTTCGGCGCCTGCGCACGGAGAGGGTAAACGCCTCTTCACCCCCCCTCCACCTTCCTCCCAACTCCCCGCCGGCCGCCTTCTCCCAGGCTCCCCTCCTTCGGGTGGGGTAATGGTCCGTCCCAGAGTGCGGCCCTCAGCCCGGAGGGTGGCCCGCCGAATGGTACGTCCCACCGCCGCGTACCTCCCCGGCTTGCCCGGCTCCCTCTGGTCTGATTCCCCCTAAGAAATAAAGCCTAGTGGGCTGATCCCAAGGAAGGAGGGGGAGCCGGGCGAGGGACCGGTCTGAGCCGGTCTGTGGCGCAGGCGCAGTGCGGATAAACAGGAAGCGGGCGGCAGCGGCAGCGGCAGCAGCAGCCTAGGGACTCCCGGGGCAAATAGCCGAGGATTTCAGGCCGTTCGGAGGGCTCCGGGCGCGGAGGACGGGAGAAGGCGCCTCGGCCCTGCTTCCGTGGAGACGCGGTGGCGCCCTCGCCCTCCGCTTAGGCTCCCAGCTCCCAGCCCAGGGGAGGCAGCGGCTGACAAAGGGCTCGAGCCGGTGCCGCCGCCCTTCTCATCCGGGCACTCGGGCCCCCGCCGAGAGGAAGGGGGCAGGGCGGAGGGGGAGGGGAAGGAGCCCGGGAGGCGCGCGTGCGGAGCCGCGGCCCTTTGCAGGGCGCCGGGCCTGTGGCCCAACGGACCGAGGCCGAGGAGGAGGAGCTGCGGCGGTGGCGGCGGCCGGCGGCAGGAGGATGGTGCAGAAGGAGAGCCAGGCGGCGCTGGAGGAGCGGGAGAGCGAGCGCAGCGCCAATCCTGCCGCCGCCTCGGGGGCTTCGTTGGCGCCGCCGGCAGCTGCGGCCCCCGGAGAAGACAACCCATCGGGAGCCGGGGCGGCGGCCGTGAGCGGGGCGGCCGGAGGGACCCGCAGGTTCCTGTGCGGCGTGGTGGAAGGTGAGTTGGCCTTCCAGCCCCGCCCCGGTGTGCAGCACCTGTGTGGCCCCCGCCCCCCCGGGGGCGCACGCTGGTGCTTCCTCGAAGGGCTCCCCCCCCACACACACACAGGTCGGGAGCTTGCCCTTGCCAACGTGGGTGTGGGGGAGGCGGGAGAAGCCGGCGGCGGGCACACTTCTTTTCCTCCAGGCCCGAAGGTCCCATTCTCCTGGCTGTTGGGGAGCCTGACCCCACCCTCCGTGGGCTTGGAGCCAGGCAGATGGTGCAGGAGGCGGTGGCAAGGAGCCTGTCGTCAGGCTCGGTGTTTCGCTTCTTTGTACCTTGGGATCTTAGTCCCCAGGGTGGTCTGCTTTCAAATGAGGAAATTGGTGCGACGCTCCCGTCCCCACCCATGTAGAGATGGGGGGAGGAATTCAGCCCATGCAGGTATACTAAGGAGGGAAGGGAGCGCGGTAGGCCTATAGTACTATAAATTCCTCCAGGCTTAGGATGTATATATTTTGCTGGCCTGCAAGCCTCCTTTCCCCTTGAAGACTCACTTGCAATCGAGAAAGTGTCATGTTTCCAGTTGGCTGTTGACTGTGTATGTGTGTGTGTGTGTGTGTGAAAATTTTCACTATAACATTCTGAGCATTTGTGATGTGGAGTTAGAATTCAGTGAAAGGTTTAATTTTTATAATTGCTGTCTTCTCATTTACAGTTGAAAGGAACGAGGGACGTTTTGGTAGTGAGGGAAGATTGCCAGAAGATCTTATTGCAGTTTCTGAATAAGAATGGGCAGATGCTGAACTCGGGAGCACATTACCTTGGTTCTTTTCCCTAACTAGATAGATCGTAGTTTGGGTTTCCTTACGTTTTTTGGCAAACCCAAGGTTTCCTAGTTTGTGTCATTTTTTTTTTATTCTCATTTTATTCTAATTTTATATTACTGGAGAATATAAAAACTAATACTCAAACCAAGAAGGCTAAAGGTAGGATTCTCCTCTTGGTTGAGAGCATCTGCTTTTCCAGTCTATTTGGAAAGATAAAAGATAGTCGTTATGGTATTTTAGATGAAGATTAATTGCAGGGAGAGAGCATTCTTGGCAGCTGCAGTAAGACATGAAACAGCTCAGCAAAATTATTTTACAAAATTTAGGGGAAGACTTCCTACTGGAGTCAGTATGAAAACATTTGTGTTGTATGTGCTGGGCTTGCTAGAGTGCAGAAAGATTTTGGAAAAACTACGGTGAATTTTTGTTTAAGGCAGGGAAGGCATGGCAGTTTTATTTCAGACAAAAACTGTGTGTCTGGAACAAATTACACAAATCATAAGATCTGCATGAATTCCTGTTGAGTTAGTCTCTAGTCTGAAAGGAGACAGATGCAAGTTGTGTAGTTTGTGTAGGTGGGTCAGAAGCTGCCACAGATGACCTTGAACATTCTGATCTTCCTGCCTGTGCAGTGGCTGGGATTACAGGCCACCACCTCGGTTTGGGTGTAAATTGTTTTTGCTGTTTGCTGTTGGTTGGTTGTGTGTATCCCCCACATAGTGTCCCAGCATGGCCTGGCTTCACTTTGCGTCCCAGGCTGTCGCTCAGTTCAAGGCTTGGGTGATCTTGCTTCACGGGAGTATGTATTGTATTGTCAAAGATCCTAGGGTGGTGAGTGGTAGGAAAAGATTCAGGGGATACAGAAAATTAGAGCTAACCGTGCACGATTGATACTGTCTGTAATGTAGCATTGGCGGGCTGGGAGAAGGGGTGAGGGTGAGGGCAGCCTGGGTGACAGAGTAAGTTCGACAACAACAAAAGGGGGGTCTGAAATGAGTTGTGCAGAAGGGAAGGTTAGGAAACTGGCGTGTGGTAACCAGAAATGGAGGAGATGGCTTACTGTGGTTTAAACTGTTTCTCTTGAATAGTATTAAAGTGAGTCTTCTTAAAGTACATTAAATAGAGCGGTCTTCAGTTCTGTTTTCCTCCTCTCGTCTGAGCACTGAACCAGCACCGGTTTTTTTAGTACTTCTGGGTTGGCAGCATTCTGTGAAGGATAGGAAGTAGCTGTAGTTACTGCCAGGATGGTGGTTTTTTGTTTTTTTTTTTCCTTGCCCTTCAAACCTTGGTTAGTTTTTACTCTTGTGTTAATAGTACATTTTCTCTTTGTGATCCAATTAATCCAGACCATAAACATGGCTTTGAAAGAGTTTCTGAAGATTAAAATGTTAAAATTAGGGGCTTGAGAGATGGCTCAGCGGTAGAGAGCACTAGTTACTCTTCCAGAAGACCTAGGTTGGATTTCTAGTATCCACATGGTTCCTCACAGCCATCTCTAATGCCAGTTACAGTCTGTAACTCCAGGGAATCCCACTCCCCTTTCCCTCTGAGGGCACCACATACATGCGCACAGACACATTCAGGCAAGACACTCAATAAAGTTCAGAATGAAGGTGCTGCTATCGCTTAACGATGGCTGATTGTTGTGCTATTCTTTTTTGGGTACAGAATATTTGCCTAGGATTAGAATTCCTATGGGAGGGTGCTTATGTTCCAAGTTTTTAAAGAATACCTGTTTTGCAGGGGAGGTGGCCATGAACAAGGCACAGCATGTGAGATACAGCATGCCTGTGGAGGTCAGAGGACAGTTGGCAGGAGTCCTTGTGTGTGGATCCCAGAGGTTGTCAGGCTTGGCAACCGCCTTCATCTGCAGACCCTTCTAGCTGTCCCCAGAAAGCTTACTTTGATCATCTTCGTGGTGCTTCTGAGTTTTCGTTATCTCTTGCTAAGGATTAGGCTGAGATGGGTTGAGGGAAAGGTTAGATTGGTTGGAAGGTCTGTAGTGGTGTTCCTCGTGTGCCGGAGAGCTCTGAATGCCAGCTTTACTATCAGCCAATTTTTTAGACATTATTTCATACAGTTACAGTTTTCACTTGAATGCAAAAATAGCTGTAACTAGAAAACTAGTGTAGAAGTTATTTTTTGTTTCCTATAGTGGATAAAGGGTGTCAGTTATATCCTTTTAATTATTTATTTATTTGTTTGTTTGGTTTGGTTTTTTGAGACAGGGTTTCTCTGTGTAGCTTTGCGTCTGTCCTGGATTTCGCTCTGTAGACCAGGCTGGCCTGGAACTCACTGAGATCCTCCTGCCTCTGTCTCCCAAGTGCTGGGATTAAAGGCATGCGTCACCACCGCCTGGCCTTTCTTGATTTTTTTTTTTTTTTTTTTTTTTTTTGAGACATGGTTTCTCTGTGCAGCCCTGGCTATCCTGGAACTCACTTTGTAGACCCACAGAGATCCACCTGCCTCTGCCTCCTGAGTGCTGGGATTAAAGTGTTGTGCTACCACCTCTACACCTCGATCCTAATTTTTCGTTTTCACAACTTGGTTCTGGAATTAGAGTGCTTGAAAGTTTATTGTTCAGCACCACAGTTGGGTTTGTAAATGTGAATATATGCCTGTTACTTATTTATTTGGTTCCTTTTTTGTTGTAGGGACTTTTTTAAAAGTTCATCATAGACAAGTGTGATGATTCACACTTGGAATTTCCACACTTAGAAGGTTGAGGTAGGGAGATGGCTACAAGTTCTAGACCAGCCTAGGCTAAAGAGCAACTCTTGCAAAAAATTGTGTGTGTGTGTGTGTGTGTGTGTGTGTGTGTGAGTGAAGTTAAGGGAGCTCCACACACACCTTTTTCTAATTCTCTGTTCTTATTGCCTTATGTAGCTCTTAAAATCACCCCTCTAGAAATAATTGGACTTCCCTCTTAGTTTTCTAGACAGGGTCTCAGACTGTAGCCTGGCTTAGCCTGCAACTATGTGGTTGGGACTGGCTTCAAACTTAGGCTAATTCTGCCTGGGCCTCCTAACGTGCCCGCCTGGACCACTGGAGAGCAACCATGCCCATCTTAGTCTCCTGCTGGTGTTAACATTTGGTTTGCT